GAAAGAGCTGAGGAGCCAGACAGGCAGCTCAAGTGACTAGCTGCTGTTTTCTCTATGCCCCAAAGACCTCAGATAGCAAGTGGTCTAGTTCCCCTTGCCTTAAGCAATTTCAAAGTCTTAAGATGTAGAAGGACAACCGGATGCCTTACAAAACTCTAGTCTCCTAATCATGCACTTGGTTGCTCTGGCAACCAGCTCCCATCCTCTGAGTTATCTCACTGGTACAAATAGGCCCGGTTGAGATAGGTTTATGAATAACAGACTATGCTTCTGCCATTTTTGCCATTAAAGCAACCCCAGGAATTTTAAGAGTAGTGTGCCAGGAACTTTGGATATAGACCTAATTATTTATCTCCTTCAATCTTGCACCATCACAGAGTCGCAGTTACGGAGTCTCATAAGCCATAGGACAGCACTTGTTCCTGGAGTCACCAAGTGATTTATTTCAGCAGCCAGGCATTAGTTTGAGGGGCAGAGGTCAGAGAGAGGAAAGAGATAGGAAGCAATTGCTGTCTTCCCAAGAAGGAGAGATGGGAACTTGAAGGCAGTAGTTCCGGGCTGAGGAGAAGGAGGTGGGATTTCTGAGGTATTTACCATGTTTAAGTCTCCAGGACTTCCCTGCAGGAATGGGAAATGGGCTATTCATTTTCAGAAACAACCTGAGTGTGGCATTCATGTACTAGCTAGCTGAGGAATGCACTATTCTTGTAACTAGGTCGGAGAAGAATTACATGAAGGGTATCATTAAGATGTTAAAATGAGTGCATTACATATGTTAACAAGTGTATGAACCCTGTATTATATCTGGCAAGCGGGGTCTTAAATCCTTGTTCAACCAGCCAGATGTCCCTGCAGCTGCTGTGGTATTGCAGAGGGAGGCAGCCACCTGAGGCCCTTGCTACCGACTGGTGCCAAGAGTGTCTGGAGCATCTGTCTGTACAAATTGCATCTTCTGTGATTTGATTGACAGGTACTGCATGGATCACATGATTCATATCACAGCACAGGTGGGATTTCAGACTGATAAACCCAGACTTCAGCAACTTGACCTTTAGCTGGAACCTATTCAGCCTAGAATGCCCTCAGTCAGAATGTGTGTATGTGTACACACATATATGCATATTATTATGTATAGATATACATAATAGATACATACCTATAGTATTTAGAAGGATAAAACAAAATTGAAGTCCAGTAAACTTAGAACAAATTTACTCACAAATACTCAGAGGTTGTTTCTAGCAGTTATTTAGCACAGTTTGCAAAGGTGGGCTTAGAAGTTGGATAAATTACGTGGAGCCAAATTCCTATATCTAGTTAAGGACTTCAAAACACAACTCAGAGTTTGTATTTATTCTTACACAGTGTGGCCTGACTTTTCCCTGAGTTTGCCAAAAATCCCGAAATCATTTAAAAAGCCACAAGGGGGTCTGAAGGGAGCTGGGTCCTAGTAGACTGATGTTTCCCCCATAACACCCTTGGGGACTGCACTTCTTGGATTCCCATTTAAGAGAAGTTGAATAGAGGCCATAGTGGAGACCACAGTTACACAACCAATTGATCTTTTATGTGCTTTGTTCCCCGGAGGAGAAATTGTGAAATCTAAACATTTTTCCTATGACTTAAATTCAGTTGAAATTAAGAAAAACGTCAGATTGGTTGTTTTCCTGTCTCTGCAGATGTACTCTGACGGAAAAGATGAAAAATTAATGCAATCTATTTTGACAGATAGCACTTAATGTGATTTTGTCATTTCCAATTTGAATGTGTTATTACATGGGGCGTCAATTTGGGGCAATGTCCACTAGGTGGCACTGTGTAAGAAGGTTTCTTTTAGCCTTAACTGCAATTTCTTTGGCTGTCTACTTGGTTCAGTTTTCTCTTTCTGGTTTGTTCCCTTTCCTTGTTCTCTTCAAGGAAGTTATTATAATTTAGGTCTAAAGTATGCTTATCTAAAAATGTATCCTATTTTTGAAAGACTTCTTGTTACACTTTGACCATAAATGAGTTCATTCATTCATTAAGTTTCTTAATTCTCATAGGTAAAGATTCTTATGTCCTGGGTAGTTTATAGGAACCAAGGGTTGTGTGTGCCTGTGTATGTGTGTGTGTGTGTGTGTGTGTGTGTGTGTGTATGTATCTCTGTGTGTCTGTTGTTTGTGTATGTGTGTCTCTCTGTGTGTGTGTATCTGTGTGGTCTGTTGTTTGTGTTTGTGTGTTTCTCTGTGTGTCTGTTGTTTGTGTGTGTCTCTCTCTGTGTGTGTGTGTGTGTGTGTGTGTGTGTGTTTGTGTGTGTCTCTCTCTGTGTTTGTGTGTGTGTGTGTGTGTGTGTGTTGTTTGTGTATGTGTGTGTCTGTTGTTTGTTTATTATATATCTTCGTGTGTGTGTGTGTGTGTGTGTGTGTCTGTGTATGTGTGTGCATGTCTATGTGTGTGTGTGTGTTACAGGGAAGGCAAATTGTTGATCTTCTAAGTTAGGGAGTCAGGTGGGAAATTGGGCTCTCTTGAAGGTAACTTGATAGTAGCCCCTAGTCAAGAGAGGGCTTTGCTCAGCCCCACACGCTAGAAACTGTCCAGGTTTCTGCTCTAGAATGTTTATTATATGATTCTCATATAATTCAAAGTTGATAATTAGAGAAGAAAGTGGTTGGCTGAAAATGTAAGAAGTTATTCATGTTTTAGGATGTGGGATAGAAATATAACTCATGAGATTATACCTTGGAGTGAACACGGGTGTTCCGAACAACGGTACATGGAAACACTGATTTAGCAGTCACGTCTCTCAACATCTGCTGGGTATCAGAACCCACCCTGGAGCATCCTTTGAAAAATATCAAGTTGATATGAGACCAGTGGCTGTGATAGGGCCAGGGCAACCCCAAAGTGTCCTCCAAATTGCAACTGTACCCCCACTGGGATACATCAAGTTCTACCTTGGAGAAATTTGTGTGAGCATGCATGCTTGCTCTCTCTCTCTCTCTCTCTCTCTCTCTCTCTCTCTCTCTTTCTCTCTCTCTCAGACACACACACACACACACACACACACACACACATACACACACGCACATGCATGCGTAAGGGTGCACTTGTGTGGGTACATGTGGTACATGTGACACCTGGTACATGTGTGTGGAAGGCAGAGTTCATCTGAGGGTTTTGTTCTTCAGAGGCCACACACCTTGGTTTGTTAGTACAGGGTCTGTCATTGGCTTGGAGAATGATGGTTAGATTTGGCCGTCCAGAGAGTTCCAAGTGCTTGTGAGTGAGTGCAGGGGTTACAAGGGTGCACCAATGTCTGGTGTTCCTGGTTCTTTTTTTCAAGCAAACCAAGCACTGGTTCTGGGGATCTAACGTAGACCGTCATGGTGGTGTGGCAGGCACTAAGCCAAATGAAGTATCCTTCAGCTAAGAATGCATGCATGTATTTTTTTGCAGTCTCAAAGCTCAAAGACAACTTAAAATTATAGACTAGAATGGTATGATTGCCCATAAATAGCAATTACTTTTGGGCTCAAAATATTGGGGTGGAGACATATGTGCTGCAGTGTTTTGTGTGTGACCTGAGGTCACAGATTTATCATATGATCTCTTCTTGGTATTGAAACTTCCTTACTGAATTTCTGAGAGGAATTGCAATTCTTGGATACTCTAGCGAAATAACACAAAGGCATTACCTCCTGGGTCTCTAACGAGAGGTCTAATTCATCCTGGGACATGAACCCTTTTTTCCCCTGACAGCAGGCATTGAGAGTGCTTCTAAGAGGTGCTATTTATTGAATTTTCTTGTAACTAAATGGGTCTTTGGCAGCTCTGACCTAGAAGCCACTGATTAAACAAGAAAGGAAAGTGCATTCCCAGTGGAGAGGGAGAAAAATGTCCCTGCCCCTTTAATCAGGGGCTTCAGTCTGGGCTTTGGGCTGAGTCTCAAGCTTTGAGATAATTCCTCATTTGCCCATGTAGAAATCCTTGCAAAGGGGATTTGTCAATCTCAGCTGAGGCTATAGCAGCTGCTCGTCTGTTAGAAATTCTAATGTGAGAATCCAGCAAGACCCCTGTATGTCAGCCTCAGACTGCATGACCCTGCAGTTGGTACATGCTTGTCCTGGAGGTCAGCTCCCACCATGCACCACCCTCAGTTTCGAGAGTCACTGCACTGGCCACAGTGACATTTTTCTGGATTTTCTCCACGATTAGGCTGAGTGCGTAGAAAATCAGGGAAGAGATCTGTAGGGATGTGCCAGGCATCTGCTCTCCTGACAGTGGAGCAGGTCAGAGCTAGGGGAAATGAGGGTGTGACCTTAAGCCTGAGACTGTAACTCTGTCTCCAAGATGCCTGTTTTTGTCAGGTAAAGATGCAGTGTGCATATGTGGTATCTATGTCGAGATATACACAAAGGACATAGAGACACTGTGTATATAAATGTATAAAGTAACACAATGTGTGATGATGTACTGTGTGTATAGACCTTCATTAGTATTTTAAACACACCATGACTTTAAAAAACAACAACAACAAGAAACACCAGGAGCCAGGCATCGTTCTCTTTCTTGTGGGTTGAGCCTCTGTGCTCACTACCGGGGTACACAAAAGGAGGCCCATAAGGCCCAAAGAGAGTCATACATTATGTGTGTTTGTGACTTTTCTGACTTACTTCTTTTTCATCTGTGCACCTGTTATAGATTTCTTAATTATGCTCCATTATTTTGTTTTATAAGTTAATTTGTCTCTTGCTTTCTTTTATTGCCCGAAGGTGTGTGTTGTGTGTGTGTGTGTGTGTGTGTGTGTGTGTGTGTGTGTGTGTGTGGTAGTACTCGTGCTGGACTGTTTAAGCATTTTGGGGGTTCAGGATCTAGGATTACAAGATGTGGGGGCTTGGCTGCCTCAGAGCGTCTGGTCTCATTGTAAAGCATCCTGGCTGATATTACATCTGGCAGTCCTACATATTTTTACTGCTTTGCAAAAAGAATGAGTTTATGAATAAAATTCTCTTCTGTTTCAGGAATTACAGCATATTGTTGGGCCACAGCGCTTCACGGGAGTCCCAGGTAATGATGAGTTGGTATGCATGTTTGAAGTCCGTACAGTCTGTAATCTTTAAGCTCACCTGGTTCTGTCATCCCCAGCTATGATGGAAGGTTCATGGTCCGAGCTGGCCCAGGGAGTCAAGTCAGAGGTTCAGCCTTTTGCTCATCTCACTATTAACGCTGCCAACATCCCATCGGGTAAGTTATATTTACACGCTGCAGCCCACGGACATGCTCACACCTATTCTTAGCCTGTTACTAAAACCTTTGAGCCTTGACTTCGAACCTGAAAGAAGGAGGCAAACCCTTCGGTTCACTCCCACCTTGTCAATCATGTCACAGTCCACATGGTATTCATTTCAGATTTGCGATCTGTGTTCATGTATTCATTTTCAGATCATGGAAGTGGCTGCTATTTAAGTACCCGCCAGTTGTGAACACATGTAATTGTTCACAGTGGTCATCTGTTCTTACTCATGAAGTAGTTTAGTTTGGAATCAAGTGTATCCCCACTACCGACCTCCTTGGTGGATGACTTCATTCAGGAAGCCAGTGAGTTTTCCTTCTGGGAGGGCTTTGTAGGGGCTAGCAGATGACAAAAGTCCTCAGGAAGCTGAGCTATTCTCTTCCTTCTCCCTGTCCTTCTACTCCCTGGTAAATAATTAGTTTAATAGGCTAGAGACCTGATAACGTTTGAAAATGAGGACCCAGAGCTCTGTGCCTGTATCCACCTCAACACACTAGATAGTCATCACCTAGTTCCACTGACTGCTCACCGTGGGCTGGGCAAAGATTTCAAGGTTCCGGTGAACATTGTGGTAGTGATAATTAAACACCACTGTTACCTCTACTGTAGCCTACACATTGAGCACCTCCTATGCCTAAGTATTTCGCTGTGTGCTCATGAACTCTCATCCTCGCTACAAGGTAGCAGTTATCATTCCGGGTTTATACAGACAGTGAGATGGTGCTCCTTAAAGTTTGTCACTTGCTTAAGGTCACTGTGGTAACAAGATTAGAAGTTGACTTTCTGATCCACTTAATTCCCAGATCAGTGCTATATATTATCCTAGAAGCAGGGTGCAAGGTACCTGTGGTAGGTTGGCTTTGTCAGAAGGAAGTAATATAAGGGTCATATATATATGTTTTTGCCAGTGGTGGATTAGTTTGGTATCCAATGACAAGGGCTCTAATGTCTGCTTGGGCCTGTGACCTTGTACAAAGCAGTTGAATCTGTGCCTCAGCTACAGTGGTCATAGACGTAATGTCCACCTTGTGGGGAAGCTATGCATACTATATTCTTGGGTAGAAGGCGGCATATTACACTCAGCAAATGTGATGTACAATTATTATTCGAGCTTGATTAAGTCATTATGTAAATTCCATTTTGTTCTACAAATGGCTTAAGGTGGGATTTTTTTTTGAGTTTAAGTTTTTTGTCTTTTAAATAATAAAAGTTTACCTTTTAATAAATAATTTTGACCCATTATCCTTGAATAGGACATAGAAAGAGTACCCATTATCCTTGAATAGGACATAGAAAGAGTTTTTTTTTTTTTTTTTCTGAGTGAAGATAAAAATGTGAGAAACCAACTCTTGAGCCATTAGGAGATTTCTGTAGGCTGTTCTGATCCTGTGCCTGGCTGTGGAGCTATGCTGATGTTCTCTGAGTGGGAAAACTAGTTTGCATGCTCACAGAGGCAATCAAATTGATACCGATGCAAGGGCTGAGTGTGCTATGAATGTACTCTACATTTATCTTTTCAGTTCCCTTTAAATGGCATAGGATAAATATTGCCTGAAACGGTGTGCCAAAGTCAGCTTGGCAATGGCAAGCATGTTTTAGTTATAAAGCTCCCTCTGCAGGCACCTAGAAACTAACCAGTGCCAAAAATCCAGGCAAAACCCCTGGTTATGTTCCGACAGATATTTGGCACAGGGTACAGGGAAATGAACCTCTGTATTCTGCTTAAGAAAATAGAGTTAGTGGTTCTGGTTGGGCCAACAGCCCCTCTAACCCATTGCTCTCCCAATGCTGGCCAGGACTGAATGATTCAGGGCAGGGCAAGTTGGCTTTCACTTGCTACTTTCATTTTGGAGTGCTCTAGATATTTCTTTATACACAGGGAGTCAGAATCTGTCCTCTGTGGACTGCTCGGCAGTTTCAAAGTTTCTTGAGGCAAATACATTAGAAAGTACTTGGGGGTGGGGTCAGAATATGGGATGTTTCCTTAGGGAGCTATGCAGTCTAAATGTTTGCTGAGGTCCCTTTCCAACACTAGTGTCTGGGAGCCCAGCAGAGAGTTGGAGAGGTCAGCCAGGCTGGGGTAAGAGGTCCTCAGCATGCCTCATTAGCAAGAGAAATCCTGGCTGCCAGGGCAGGCCTTCCTTCACCTTCTCTCATCTTTCCCCCGCTGTTATCTTTTGGTGAGTCCTTGATTCACACCGTCCTAGCCTTTCTTCTGTGTGCTTCATGAGCTCCCCACTGTGCTTCAA